GTGGGGGGGGGGGGGGAGGATTTTTGCCGTAAGACAGCACGACATATCGTAATTGAGATTGACGATGGCGCCTATCAGACCACGAGCTAGCGGTACACGGCAGACGGACTGAGGACGCTAGTCTCCGGCGTATCCTACCCGGGTGCGCGGAGGGCTGTCTACCTGAATATGTGTTGGTATCTACCTCATTGCCAGGAGTGCTAGATCGTAGAGAAAATGACAGCACCAACATTGAGTAGCAGTGTGTTTGGTCGAGGCACAGCGAACTGTCGCGTGAGGATTTGTGTTTCGTCTCATATCTGCCTGTGGTCTATTCCCGAACCGATACTTTATCAGATGCGGGGTGAAAATACTAAAGCAACACACCAACGTGAGCAGCATCATATTCAGGTTCTACTAGAGATCTGCCAGGATATAGTCCTGGATGAAACGAACGTGAACTCATTAGAACCAACACCACAACACGCTGAGGCCTGCCGCCATGAACTCTGGCAAACCGCACGGGGCACGCCCCGGCCACCGCAAGACCAGGAGCAGCAACATCAACAACATTCACCAGAAAAGTGACGTGTCTCACAGAGCTACAAGATATGACACCCAAGCCGAAGAGATCTAACAGATTGGCTTCGGCCTCTCGACACTCCATTGGCAGACTCACGGACCATGGGCATCCACCCAAAACAGACACGACAAACGAACGACACCACTACGTTACATGTTCTACCGCGGGTGTTCATTGGATCGGCAAGAAGCCCTCAGCCTGTGAAACCGAACACAGGCAAAACCACGTGTTGCATGCGGGCGTTCTAGTCGTCGAGACTGCATCGACTAGGCACTGAAACATCGCCTGCCAGGGGGGCGAAAACGCCAACAACATCTGACGACGTGGTAAAGACAACGCTTTTGTTCCACACCTTTGCGAGACGTGCTGCCGCCGAACCGCCAGATGAACCGCTCGTCGGAGCCCCCAGCTCGTGACGCTGCCGTGATTCAGGTCTGCGTTGTGCCCCATCGGCGTCCGGTCTATCAGCTCGTAACCTTCCGGGCAGACTTCCCCCTTTCCGGTCCTGTACGGCCAAAATGCATGAGAATATTAACTCCCCGGGTTTGTGTTTCAGGTGCTATGGGAGACAACCCCCCCTGCCCTCGCCGTTGCTTGCTGCGCGTTTGGTGTATGCGTGCAACGCTGACGCGCTGACCGGTTGATCCATGAAATGCGTCAGTTTCACAGCAGAGTTGTTTCCCACCCTTCCGGCACTTTTTTCGTACCAGGTTGCGCCCACGGGCTAGATATTATAAGCAACAACGACGTGAACAACTACATCGAGGCAGACCGGGTGCTCACTCGTCAACAAACCCTTCGGCCGTTCGAGGCCGCGGCTTCCAGAAACGAACAGCCACATGACACGGAAATCGGATTCACAACCAGCACAGGGATCACCAGTTTTTGTGGGTGCGCGTTGCCATGTACTCTGGAATTTGGTTTTACATCTTTAGGTAGGGTATGTTTTGGTGCACCCGCCGGGCTCGCGCGCACAGGCGTATGTTAGCTCAATCTTCCTTGTAAGGTGCTTGCCTTAGTTCCTTATCGCGAGAAGGATGGAGCATTTCACGTCTACTCATCGACGGCCAACCAAAAAAAAATTGTGCACGCACGAATCAACGAAGCGATGCAAGATCTGCACCCTGTTGGGGAGGCGTTGAAGTTCGTCTTTAAGAGGGCTCTGCGAGGACGAGCCGAGGGCAACCCGATTGGCGAGGTAGGGCTCTCGTTCAAAGGCGTATCGACAAAGCGTGCCTTTGGGCAAAACAGTTGAACGGTCGATGTCAAGGCATCAAGGTCATCTCTAAGTCGACATATTCGCCAGGTCATCATAACGCTAAGCTGGTTGTGATAATGACGCCTACGGACCCACGTTGCTACACAATGGAGAGTCGAGGAACGGCAGAATAGCACCCCCTGTGAGGATGCACCTTGAAACAACTTTTCCCAACACACGATCCCCGATGGGGAGAGTCTCGGAGAACGACAACGGGCCTCAACAAAAAAAATAAAAGGTCTGAGTGCGCAAAATGCGACGTTCTAGGCAAAGGCCACGCCGGAGGCCAAGACTAGAAACGGGCTGCCAGCAGCCCTACATGCTGTCGCTAGAGGTCGCGTCACAACAGCTTTCCTCGCTCTCAACGGCAAGGCGAGATTCGTATCTGCTTCACTGCGCCATCAGCATACTGCTGTTGGCGTTCACGTCCAAGGCCGACAGGATTGACCTTCGCGTTATTGGACGCTTCGCGAAGGAACATGGTGCAGTCATCTGTCATTCCGTCCGGATTGGCACAAGACACCACCTTCGCGAGCTGAAACCACACCGGTTGATGTACTGACCTCACAACCGCGATATCGGTGATTGCATCTTCCCACACGCACTTGAGCATTTCCGGAGAATGGAGATCGGGATCAAGAAGCTCTAGATCTCCATCGTTCCTGGCATAGCATAATGCATACGGCACCCGAAAAAAACAGTAAGTTCGTGTTGTGCCGCGGAGGGGAATCTCGAGTTACACTGGATATTCTGTAAGGCCCTTGTTGTCTCTAGATGAAGTCTCGTCCCTTCGAACTCATGATAGGGGGGTCCTTTAGTCTCGAACGGATAGCGACAAGCCGTTGAGATCTGAGCGAAGGACGTAGTGGCTTTGCCGAAGCACAGACCTCGTGGTGTTCCCCTTAGAAACTGGACGTCCCCTCCCGGTTAGGGGAAACACGAATTCCGTAGACGACGAGCCGAGGAACACGGGAAGGCACAGCACTGCTGTGGTACAAACTGGTGAGGCATGGGCGCTGGTCTAGGGCGAAACGACCCTGGACGAAAAACCAATTGAAGTGGATGCGAATCACGTGTCACCTGGATTGTCTTGGCCTGGCTCATTGTTCACAACGGCGTTCTTTCCCCTGCTATGGCGGTCAGCAGGGGAGGGGCTCGCTGACCACGAATGGCTCGTTCTTTGGCATACTTGTTGGTTTCAACACAGATGTACAGGTCACCGACTGCAGATAGCGCCAGCACACAGGAGCCTCTCGTTTAGGCCAAGGCTGGGGTGTTTAGTTCCTAGGGTTAGGCTACAAATGGTCGCTAAATAGGTTGGTGTAAGGGCTTCTATCCGGCTCACAACTGGGTACTAGGTTATTATATTTGGTTCAGTGTTGAGCATGGCGTTAATATTCTGCTACGTTGTAGGTGTGGGTGTTAAATGTACCGTACTTGTGTTGACCATCCCATCTATACAACCGCTAGTAATCGCTCCTCACCGTACAGACGGCATTGTTCTTCTCGCTTGAGACATCCGAGCTGTATGCATGCAATTCGTTCCAAAAATTCTTGAAACCGATACGTCACGAGCTACTCTTAACCCTTGCGTGACTACAGGCCGATCCAGCTCCGTTCTCAGCTCCGATCACTTTGCGTGCCGAAAGATCGCCGTTGTGCGTCGGCTAAGAGCAAAAAACATATATACGTAGAGACCAGCAGGGAGACACAGGCAGCCCACCCCAAACGCACGCTTATCAGCAATGCGCACAGGCCTCACATAGTACAATACTATTCACGCATGCTTAATCTCTCTGACGTGGGGCAGATATCCTTTCCAGATCCAATCTACTGCCTACCGGTACTGTATGATAAACGCCAAAATACCACCGGAGGGTACATACAGTATACCCTGAACATGTGATCAACCCGGTGCCGCATCCGCGGGGGAGAGCAGAGAAAGCGCACACCGGAGCCGATGCTAACGTACTGCCTCGGTGCTTGATGTTGTTGTGATTGCGGTGAGTGTGGTTCCCAGTATTGGGAGTGAAGCGTGGTTCGTCTGCTGTGTGCAAAATTTCGCTCAAAGACAAGGGTTTTCGGGACTACAGCTCCGATCACAGCTCTCTATTTGTAGTGTACAGAATAGTAAAATAATTTATCACGATTTTGACGGATATTGTGCGATAATAGTGGATGATGGTCTCTATTCTCTGATGAGCGGGCCGTGTTTTTCGTCGATCTGGCGCTTCTGTGAGGCGGTTTCCCGTCAGCGTCTTCGCATCTAGCGCCGCTAGCATATGCGCTTGCCGTATGCTCTGTCCAAGGATGAGGTGGAGAAGATGTGCCAACAGGTATTTCTTGCACAGGTACATCCTCTGTGCGGACGGTTGGTGTCGGAGACAAGCATGCACACCTGCTCAGAAACTACTGCTGCTGTACAGTCTATTTCTCTCCGCATGACTGCTACTGCTGTACAGCAGTGGTACTACTGTAGTCCTGTTCGCGACCCTTACATATACCGCGTCCCCATCCCTGTGAGCCCCACACATGGTCCCACTGCTGCACCATCCTTGCCGCCGTGATTTATGGGTGTACACGCATGCTTGGAAGATCTTTGACCGCAGAGAGCCAGTTGTGGGGAAAAAAATAAAAAAAATCAAATTAACCAGTCACGTAAGGGTGAAGGCCGCGGTGGGGATGGCAGATTTCCTCTTCAAAAACCCATGAAACGCCTGCATATCTCAGTTTTCCAAAGTCTAACTCCAGCACGAAACTGCCATCGCAAATTAACCGTCCGCGCACCCCCTCTCGTGTACAATGTTAGTGTCTGAGATTGTACCCCTTGCGATACACTACAGATTAGCGGTCCGTAATTTTCCAAACGACCCTTCTATCATCGAGATCGGTGCGCTACAAGCTGGATTGTTGAAGCTGCTGTGCGGTCCGATTTTGAAACGCTTTAAGCACCTTTGCAACGGCGAATCAGCGCCTACGTGAGTCTGTGGGGCCGCGAACTTCAGCGCAGCTCTTCTCTCATATGTTCTTCTCGTCGCCACAGTCGATTTGGCTGCCTGCGGTCATGTATATGTAGGTCTAGCCAGAAGCAAAGGTGCTTGGAGCGTTTCAAAATCGGACCGCACAACAGCTTCAACAGTCCAGCTTGTAGCTTACCGATCTCGATGATAAAAGGATCGTTTGGAAAATGACGGACCACTAATCTGTAGTGTATCGCAAGGGATACAATCTCAGACACTACACGAGGGGGTGTGTGATGGCAGTTTCGTACTGGAGTTAGGCTTTGGAAAACTGAGGTATGCAGGCGTTTCCTGGATTTTTGAAGAGGAAACCTGCCATCCCCATCGCTGTATTGTTGGAATATTTCCAGGGGGTTACCACATGCATGACTTGGTTTGTAGAGATGAATATGTAAATGTCTTTAACACAACTTCCCTGAGGTGCAGGACTTCGTTGTGCAAGCAGGGGCAATTCTGTCCTGTGCTCGGTACGTGTAGCATGCCATCACATGCAACAATACGCTCTCTCCATGCACTGTACGTATCACAGAATTAAAGACTACTTCACGCAAATAGGGACAACCTCGCGGAGACTTGGCCACAGAGCCACGGCACACTCCGGTAATGCATTTCATGTGACATGACGTGCAACTTGAGGAACCTCGTCAAGTTGCATGGGTAGGTTCTAGCTACTGTAGCAGTGGTATGGGAACCCAGTTGTCGACGGTACGCCCATCCCTTCAACGGATCGTCTTACAGCGACTGCTCTAGATGTACAGCGCAGCAGTCGCACCGCTGTTCGCCGAATAGTCTACACACTTGTTCATCGGTGTGCTTGATCCTCTTTCAGCTCTAGCTTATCATGGATGGTCATGATGCAGGGCATAGACTCCCCTCCCGAAAAGCTACAGCAGTTATCTAGAGCGGTAGCCTACTCTGAAGAACAACCTGCCTGGTAGCATGGCATGATGTCTCTCTAAGGTCAGTAAAAGTACATCAGCAACTGAACGCAGCAACTCGCTGGGGGCTGTTTGTGTCACCTCGCGCCAACAACGGAGAAGTAGTCGGCTATCCAAGCTTCATCCTCCATAGCTAGCTTGTCGCTTGACGACTGCCAGTGCGCTCCGACAGCACAGGCTCCCAGAGGACCTAGCAGGATATGGCCACTGCTGTCCTCTGCCTGTGAGGAGTCGGCACCCTGTCACGAACAAGTGACCAACGCGGGGGTGCTCCGTGAATGCAACGCGGTCCACCGAAGATTCTTAAAAAAAGACTCGGTGCCCTGTTTCTTCAGTCTTAGAAAAAAACGAACAGCAGTGTTAAGACGAACATGCGTTAACACAAACCACTCTCTGCTTGCCTCAAATAGAGCGGGGTGCGGAGCATGTGTCCAACTCCCGCGGAGACTAGTAGTGAGGTGGTGGTGTGAACCAGTGCGAACGGCCAGGAGCGAGAGCTTGCAGCGACGACGACAGCTGTTCTGCGCAAAGAACGCCAGGAACACTGGCAACGTAAGTACAACAACAAGGAGTCGCCCAGCACACCATGCTCCGCATGCATATATACCGTATATGACACAAGATAACACACCCCCTGGCCCGATTTTCAAAGCTTGATTACTCGATGACGAAGAGGATACATAAACAAAATGATATATTTTCGAAAAGATCTCAACGAGACGGTTCCAACACCGCCGTTTTCGGCGCTGTGAGTCTTCCTGCTGTTGAGAAATCGAGCTTTGAAAAACGGTCAAGGGGGTGTGTTATCTTGTGTCATATACGGTATATATCATCATCATCTCTGGGGAAACCGGCAGTGCAAGAGTTCGTGCATCTCCTGGGCCCGAAACAAATGTGGCATGGAGTATCGAGTATCCCCATTTGGTCCTGCCCAGGGCGTGCGCGTTCCAAGCTGTTCCCAGAAGGTAAAACAAAAAGTGGGTGGGTGCTTTACCATCGTACAACTTACTCTCATCTCCATTATTTTTTAGCAAGACCGAGAACGCAAAATCGCGATTAATCGTCTGCAGCGAATTGTTGCGTTTGAATATTGATATATGTGGGTACTGTGTAATTCGTGTGGTCTGCTGTACCCTTGTTCGTCTACCACCAGTGCCCGCTGCCCCTCTCAGGTACTTCGAAGTACTAAAAACACTTCGAGGTACTTATTGTGTCAGGTCCCTCACGTGGTTCCCTCGTACTTCATGTATCGTCCCGACCAGACTGACAGAAGATGTAATATGTACTGTAAGATTTGGTCACTTTTCATGCTTCGACGTTTCTTTCTCTCGCGGCAGCGAGTCTTTTCTCGCGGTTCCTTCTCAGGGGCACGCAGGAGGCTCGTCGGTACATTAACGCCCGTGCCCGGAGCTCGGTAGGCCTCCGTGGCGCTTGTGGTTGACGGCCAAAGCTGCGAAAACTGGCTCAAAACCCCGGGGACGCGTTTCGTGCTGACAAAGCCTGGCGAACCAATTCTGAAACCTATCAGGCTGAGTCTTACGGCGTGATTATTTCCGGATTGGATTTGGGGGGGCGGTCCTTTTTTGAGCCAAAAAAATAATTTGGGCGTCTCACGGGTAGGAAAATGGCAATTTCCAACAGCCCAAAATCCAACAGGGCAGTTTCCAACAGCGATTCCGGCCGGCCTGTTGGAAAATTGGCCCATTTTCTAACAGTGATCCTGTTGGAATATCGCTGTTAGGAATGGGGGGGGGTACCCCCTGGTCACACCCCGATCGTGCCAGAATGAGGAACTACACCGTCTGCTGGCCAAATAGAGGCCAGTATCATGAGGTCATGCACAAACCCTCTGCAGGTGTCTAAAATTCAGGGGGTTCTGAGTCGTGTTGGCCGCACACGAGCGGACAACGTCAACCCTGCCACATTGCTCTGCTGACGTTCTTGCCATTGGGCCGAAAAGAGCCGTTTTTGCGCCTGCTGCATGTGTGACCAGTTCAAAACGCATGCCAGACAGAGGCCTTAAGCCGTCGACATCCACAAACTGCAGCCAATGGCGTGTGTGCATACTCATACCCTCTGCTCGCGTACCAGAAACAGAGCGTGTTGTCCAGTTTTGATTGCATACGGCCTGCAAACGTGAACCAAAGTGTGTTGCGGTGTTGGCTTTTTGGTATTTTTTCTTGTTCCGCCGCGTGTTTCCTCCGTGTGTCACCCGCGACCAGTCAAAAACGCATGCTAGAGAGAGGCCTTTGGCCGACGACATCCACAAAAAGCAGCCAGAGGCGTGTGGTCATACCGTACCCTCTGCTCGTGTCCCAGAAACAGAGTGTATTGTCCAGTTTTGATTACACACGGCCTGCAAACGTGAATCGAGGTGTGGTTCGGTGTTGCCTTTTTTGGACGTTGCTTTTTTTTTCTGCCACTTGCTCCGAGTCGAGTGTGATCAGTGTACAGCACATGCCATCAGAGAGAGGCCTTTGGCCGACGACATCCACAAACTGCAGCCACTGGCGTGTGATGATACACATGCCCTCTGCAGGGGACCAATAAACATGGCGCTCGGTGTCTTGTTGGTCACACACGAGCCAAAACCGTGTACTGAAGCATGTTGCGACTCACAAGAACATGAATGAATCAGCCTCTTTTTTCCCTTGAGAAAAAAATATACCTCGAGGAACCGTAAGACGGTCGATTGGATCTTGATGTTTTTTTCCGTGCAGGCCACCCCCCTCCGACCGAGAGAAAAAAAAATCTCCGAAATAATCACGCCGTAAGACTCAGCCTCAAACCCATCAAATACGACGGTTTGAAATGTTTGCCTCTTGCCTCTCCACTTTCATTCGTTCATTCATTTATTCATTCCATGATTCATGGCTGCTTCGTGTCGTCGCATTGTCCAACAGCAGTACCTACGTTTACTAACACTTCGCAGCGGGCCAAGTGTAGATAAGTCTGAGAGCATATGCATCCAGCCGCAGTGTTGAACATGTCCCATTTGTGGTGTTGTTTCGGCTTGAAATTCGGTTCTCATCGGAAATCTGCCATCGTCAATCAAAGACACCATGGAAGTCTGAGTTTTCGCTGCCAAAATATTGGTCCGCTCGAGCTGGCTCCAATGTAGAATAACAACGTGCGCGATGTTTTGTTCCGAAAAACAAGCGTTGTAAGACACACAGTTCCTCTTCGGGCAATGCGCATGTGGTCTTGCGTCACCTGAGGGAGGGTAGACACCCACGTCCCGAAGGGCCGAAGAGAGAACTTGTACCCTTTACATAGTACAAGTGTCATGAAAGTGTGTCGGGACTTTACTGTGAGCGGGTCTTGGTCCCTTCCCGACCGCTTCTTCACCAGGCGATGGTTCTGGGAGTCTTCCGACCGCCGGCATCCCTGGCTGTTGCCTCCTCTGTTCTTCTCGTTGGTGGCTGTGGCCTGTCGACGACGACGATCTCTTCACCACGAAAATAACAGGGGGCCCGTCGGATGATGCGTCCGCGGGGGACGTTTCGTTGTGGATAGAATCGCCGGCCGCACGTGCCGTGCTGAAGCTCGCCCCCAGAGCTGTCGTCGTCGCCGTCGGACGTAAGTATTTACCAGTAAGTTGCAGCCTGACATCTTCCCACCAGATGCGTGTTGAGTCGTCGAGTACAAGTTGCAGCGCTGCGGCCCGGATCGACGAGTGCGGTAGCGGGTCCTGTGATGTTGCTACGGAATGAGCCCGAAATTAAGCAAAATCAAGCTCGGGTCGCGAGGGCCACTCTCTTATATTGGCCCCGAAGAAGCAACTGATTTTGTCAATTTCTTGAGATTATTTTCGTATGGCTCGGTGCTTTTCCGTAAGAACGCACAACACCACAACATGTACGCGGTTGTAATCCAACCCGAACAGTCGACGTGCAAACGTTGGAGGTTCTCGCCCTCTCCATCCTTCTCACTCCCGCCTCTTGGTCCCACCTCTATCAACGCCCAAACGGCGGCGACCCACCCGTGCTACAAGACGTCAACAGCAACATCAGTCTCGTACGCCCATCAGAAGGTAGCATGACGCGGTAGTTGTACCCCACTCCTGAAGGTGCTCTACGAGCGACGAACCAACCCAGTTCATGTTCCACGAACACCCCATGATTTATGACGAGAGGGAGTTACCAAGGGCCGTCGGTCGAGACGTCTGGAGCCGGAGCCCGTTCGAGATGTCCGCATCCTTTGCATTTCGTTTTCGGGTGATAACTCATCATCGTCGTCGAGCTGAGCCCACGGATCCTGACGGCCTGTCATTGTCTCCGCCTTACCGTGGCCAAGAGATGGCAAGAGGAATCGCTACTTCCGGTCAGGCGGAATCGATGACCAATATTCGAGCACTCGCTGCTGTTCCCACAGACGTAGTGTCCTTCCGTACAGGAAAAGTCATTTATTTAGCCGAAAAGTGACCGCCAACGTATAGAAAGTTCAACTTGACGCATCGCAGCTCTTGTCACCATCGAAAGCGCAAATGCTCGACTGCTGGTCCAGCTCATCATCACCTCCGGCTATTCCGGCAGGGCTGCTGTCACCGCGCTTGCCCACCTCATCAGAGCTGTCATCATCCGCGTCGTCCCATGAAGGTGACGGCCCGGAAAGGCTTTCGAGGTTGAAATGCGGGCACCTCCAGAGTCATCAGCTTCATGGCCTTCCCGGTCTTGTCCAAGAGACAGAATCGATAGTCCTGATCAGCTTTGATTTCAGTGACCGCCGCAAGAACCCAAAGGGTAAGCCTGACATACACTGTAAGGGTTAGATTGCCTCCATTGTCGAGCCATACATCGAGTTGCTCCTCCACACAATGCGTCAGCGCCGTCCATATTTAGCCTGCGTCAATCAGATGGTCCTCATCGGGGCAGCCTGCATGTAAACACACCAAAGAAGCATTTGGCACTCCTTATGGAGATCACAGCGAGGAGAATCGGCTGCACCTCGGGCATGGTGCCGCCATGTTGTTTTTGTTGTTTCTGGGTGGATTCACGTGGCCACAGGCAAACTTTCACTAAACAAGGCATACCCAAATGTAACAGACCCAAAGGGTCCCCAAGCCAATATAAGTCAAAGACAGAAAGCCTAGAGCCCTCCGCTCGCCTCTACTTATTACGTGAGGTAAACACACCATGCGCGGGAGATACTGCACAGCACGTAAGTCATGCAGAAACTTTCCTGCCGGCTGAGACCTTCGGCTAGAAGATACCATCAACAGAAACGCCCACTTATCGCAGACCACGAGCCCCTGAAAATGGTCGCCGGATCCTCCTTTCGAAATGGTTCTTATTGGTTCCATGGAATCGCCTTCCATGTACCCGGGGCTCTCGCAGGAGCTTACGGAACTTCTTGTGCAAGCGCTTCTCTTTAGGATTGGGCATCGGAGTTGGACCTCTTCTGCTAGGACAGCGAAAGACGCTCCACCCACCTTCGCGTGATCGGGAAGGATGGACGGAACGATGTGGTTAGAGCATTTCCCCGACGCCTTTACTATCGGAACTTCTTAAGAGCGATCATGATCCATGTGGTGATTCATTTCGTCGAGACCCGCACCCTGTTGCGCATTGCCACTTTAATGCTGTAGCCCATTCTCGACATCAAGGAAGCGCAACTTCGACCCAGGTGTCTTCGCCATCGGACCACGCCGACTTCAACAACTCACTTTATTGGGGTTTCTCCCTTTTCACACGCCCCACAAGCAAAGTAAGTGTTGTGCTGAAGATCGCTGCAAACGCCTCAGTTAGTTCTTCGAACCAAGAGGGTGCATGATCGAGGAGACCTTTTGTTCTACCGTACGAAATCCGTAGTCGGCGTGCTATTCGTAATTGCTTCTGCATAGCAACTATATGGGCTGACAAAGCAGAACCGCTTATGTTCTCCGATGGCGTACTACTCCGTCGGCAGAGATCGGTTGTTGGACGTAGTGGCCCGGACCTGCGACCCATCCTTCAGAATCATAGGTGCCCATCATGTTCATTGTTGAAACGGGATGCTGGCCTGGATACGCATGGGCGATGGGGGGCTCTCAGGCTGGTTTGAAGTCACACGGGGATTTCCACATGGATGCCTGACGTCATTTTCACTCTACCACATCTAATTTCCAGCGGGATGAAGGTGGTGCTCGTACAGTGTATAAGTCAAGCCGATACTATCCTTGGCAGACGACTTTTCGTCGACGAACGATAAGGGGGTGGGCCCGAGATGCCACTGAATCGAGTCCGGAGGGAAGTGTGGGCAACGAATTGTGGGCAACGCTTTTTGGAGAGGGTGCGCGGATCGTGTTGGGCTAGGGGCAATGATTGCGAGTATCGTGAAGGTACTCGGTGAGGTCGCATGAAATAGAGAGTCGGACAGAAAGCCGCAGTAAGCTGTTCTAAGCTCCGGACACCGGATAAGCGTAGAACCGAGGGGGAGACTACCAACGCTCGAGAAAATGTGGTACACGAACGACTGCACGGGTATGATTATTGCTGCGCAGGCATCCTTCCAACCAGCAAACGTCGAGTAATGTCTAGAGTGGAATGCGGAACGGAGCCATCATGAGTACGTCTTACCCTAGGCTCGCCCCCAGACAACACAGAATGTACCTCTTGGTTACCAAGGCCAGCCGTCACTCACTGCACCACACTGCCTCCGGCGTTTGAAGTCGCGACTGACGGGATGCAAACAGCAGTTGGCAGGCATTGTATGCAGGTTGATGAAACCCGGCCGCGTCATTTGATAGATGAAGCCAAGAGGAGGAGACACACGGTACAGGAAGGGACCCACTCGCTGCCGACGAACCGCCTTTCACTCCGAATACTGGTAAGCACCAACACCGCAATCAATCACAACAACAAGCATTTTTCTTCATCGCATCGGCTCGGGTGTGCGTTGTCTTCGTTCGCTCTGTTCTCGCGCTCTTTTCTCGCGCACGCGGGACCGGATTCATCGCATGTTGAAGGGAATTTTATGTACCCGTCGTCGTTTTTTTTTTCGTTTTGGATCTTCGGCAGTTCATTGGTTATGGTAAACGCCACACCTAGAGAGATCAGGCATTGAATCCCATACATAGTACTCGGTGTGCCTCCTTTTGTATTCTTAAAGAGCTGCCTCTTTGTCTCTCTGCTGATCTCTGTGAAAACGTTTTCGTATTTGGCGAGACGCAACGATTTTGGTGAAAAAAGTAGTGGGATAATGGGACTGGAAACGGAACGGGACGGGAACTGTTTGGAAGCATTCACAAAAAAATAAACAGCCCTCCCTGCTGCAAAACGCGGCATATTTGCGTCCTGCGTGAGATCGTGTGGAGCTGCGATGTGTGCGCTTGTTTGTCGGCGCTGTCTTGCTGTGGCCGTGCACACGTACTGGGTACGGTGGTTCCATCTATCCGCTTCCCCGACGAGAAATAATGCCAACCATCCGCCAAACGAATGAAGCCAGCCGCAAAGAGGATACTGTTCTCGGATATTCTTGGACCGCACCACCGACCACTGGGCGATCACACTGTATGCTCTCTTCCTTCCGCAAGAAAGGTATTACCAATTTCCTCAAACTTCGAAATTCGTGCCGTCCTCGTTGACTAGTAGTCTTGCCACGCACACACACTCTCTCTCACCTGCACTCTCTTGTGCATGGCGGGAATCACTGATGATATTCTATTTCCGGAGGAACAACAGACGCCTCTTTTCTGCCACGCGTGCGTCACCGCGTAACTTCGATCGGCGCCGCACTTCCGACACGGCCTCGTCTCCTACTGATTCACGTACACCTGAGGTACTCGAATTATTATTTGCTGCTGTCACACCACACAAATCTACACCTCATCAACCACCACACTCTTCCTCGTTCCAGCGTCCGTCATGTTCTGGCCGCGGGGGCTATCCTTGGCCCTAAATTGCCGTTCAGGGTATTTTTTATTTCCGAAAGTATGTATATACCGGTCGCTCCGGTCGCCCCGGTGGTCTAGTAGGTAATCTCGCAGGCTGTTAAGGGCCAGGTCATGGGTTCGAGCCCCGGCAGCGTGAGTTTTTCTCTCACCAAATAAATCCGGGTCTAATAAGTCGAAAGCTACGCGCTGCGAAGCTCGTTGTTAGTAAACTGAATCGACTTCACAAGTCGCGAGGGAAGGGATTGCTGCATGTACCCTTCTCGCGATAAAATCATCTCAGGCAGGAACCGCAGGAGGCCCCCTCCTATGTGGCTCCGCTTGGGTTGTCTAGCTAGTAGAAGAAGTGGAGGATAGGGACCAGAGGGGCAGAGGACAGAGTCCAATGATGGGAGAAAAAATATATAAAAAAGGGAAAAAGTAGCCGATACCGGTCGGCCCGGTGGTCTAGTGGGGAACTTCGCAGCCTATTAAGGAGGATCAGGTCGTGGATTCGATTCCCGGCAAAGGGAGTAGTTTTTCTCACTATAATAAGTAAACCCCCGGCAAAGGGAGTAATTTTTCTCACTAAGTAAACCCTGGTCAAAGATTGGAAGCGACGCGCTTCTAAGCTCGTTGTCAGTTATTGTTGTTGTTGTTGTTGTTGTTGTTGTCTTCACATTAAAAACCGTTCCGATCTCTCTCTACCCTGTACCTTCACATGTATGTCCGTACTGATTCGACACTCGACGCGGTCGATTCCCGTGGTCGCAGGTTAATAACCTAGAAGGTACCCAAACAAACTGGCCCCGAGGATCGACTTCATAGTAGGTCGCGAGGGAAGGGATTGCTGTACCCTTCTCGCGATAAAAATATCTCAGGCAGGTACCGCAGGAGGGAGGGGTCCAAGCCCCCCCTCCTATGTGACCCCGCTTGGGTCGTCTAGCTAGTAGAAGTGGAGGATGGGGGCCAGAGGGGCAGACGACATAGTCCAATGATGGGAGAAAAAAAAAAAAAGGAAAAAAAAATGCCGATCGCCCCGCCCGGTGGTCTAGTTGGTATCCTCGAAACCTTCTAGAGGTCAGGTCAGGGGGTCGAATCCCTGCGTAAGCGAGCTTTTCTTGCAAAGTGAGTTTTTCTCTCGCTTCCGCTTCTGGCCTAAATAGTGGATAGCGCTAGTTCGTGTGTACACAGAGGGAAGAGAGTGCTGAACTCTTCTCGCATTAAAAATCGAAGGCAAAGTACCGCAGGAAGGGAGGGTAGAGAGGGGTTCTTCTGTGTGACCACGAGTAGTCGGAATAAACATGCTGTGAGCGCTGACTTGAAGTGAAGACAAAAAAACAAATAAACAATCTGTTGTACTGTATGTTGTTGTTGTTGTTGTTGTTGTTGTTGTCTTCACATTAAAAACCGTTCCGTTCTCTCCGCTCAGTACCTTATTCTGTCCGTGCTAGTCTGACACTGGACGGGGTCGATTCCCGTGGTCACAGGCGAACTTACACATTAGTCTACTGAAAATACCCCGGGGTGACACGCCGAAAATAATTTTATTTGCAGTCGAGTCAACTTCATGACGACCGCGAACACAGAATGGGAGTCATCGGGCAGTAAAAGGCGGGGTGTCTAGGCGGGGTGTCTGGGGTGTCTGTTTGTAAGCAGGTGGTTTACCTTACTCACACCACATCTCATTACGGCCCTCACCCCTACTTGACTACACCAGTACAGCAGCAGGCCGGAATCCGGACAAACTGAACCACGATATTACTCTGTCTTCCACAGGTATGATACTGCTGTGCGAGACGTACAGTATGCATGCATATGCATATTATGAAGATGACTACTGCTGCTGTATGCGGTAGAGGCTGTACGCGTACAGCATGGGATACGTGCTGCTGCTACCCTGTGTACTGCTGCAGTGGGTCCCACGAAGCCCTCATAAAGACAGGAGCGAGAAGTCATACATACGTGAATCGCGCACCGCGGATGCTGAAAGATTTAGAACATGCCGTGAAATTCCACGGATCCACTGCTGTGTTGGAGCATGCTGTGCAGGCGGTAGACTTGGTTGTAGACTAAAAGAACAGCAGCAGGCGACACACAACCAGTGTGGATGTGTGCTGCGTTCCCTCTCCTTCTGCAGACTTCCCATGGATCTCAACCGCGGTAGAAACAACAGTGTTGCTCTGTCATAGCATAGGGCTAAAGCGTTCAGACAACAGCGGGCGGCAGGGCAGGACGGCGGCAGCAGCAGCGGACGCACACACTCTTACTCTGAAGAAGCGCCGTCCATTGCTGTTCACAAGATAGATGTACAATTTTATTTTTTATTTTTTCATCACTTTACATCGGCGCTCACACATGCACAACCTTTCTGCCGTGTAGGAGCTCCAATCTGTCGTCACACAGAACGTTTCCTCCCTCTGGGCCCCCCTCCCCACGCCTCCTGCGGTGTTTTCCTTCGGTTTTCAACGCGAGGAGAGTGCAGTGTACACGAACTTTTTTATTTTCTCGCCTCCATCCCGGGAACGGAATCAATCCGGATTGTGTTCCTGCTGCACGACAGCTCTCGTGTCTTCAGGCTTCAAGAATCAGCTCAATCAGATCAATTCCGGTAGCTCCGTACGTTATTGCATTGTGTGTGTCTGCCTGCAACACGAGCTTTGTCGTTTTCCCCCCGAATGTTGAGCTCGAATACAACACAGCCAAAATAATGGAGAATGGGGGTCCGCCAAGATCGCTGGTGGTTGCATGTATATAGATTTGTAAAGTCTTCCTCACACAGTGTCAAGAATTTTCCTGCGGCTGTAAGAAGACCACGCACTGATTCTGTTCATCTGTCGCGTCAGCTGTCGGATAAAGTCGGGTCTGCCGTGTCGAACAGCCCGGCAGAAGACGTCAGCTTCAACCAAGAACGCACACAATTATTATTTTGGCAAGCTGTTTCTGATCTGATGTTGAACCATATGTGTCGACGTGTCAACACATGCCAACAACATCAGATGAGCGTTGACGCGGCAGCTGTCAGAGCGGCTGTGGAGCAAGCGTGTACGTGTGGGCTGGGCACGAGAGGGGAAAAGAGCATACAGCAGTAGCGTTCCCAGCGCATACAAAATATACAGCAAGGAGGTACATACAACCGAAGCAATTTCAAGTTACATTTTTTTTTCTGTTCGGGTCTTCTTCTGTTATATCTATCTGTCAAACGGCGGAGACGTTGTGGACTGCTGTCCCATCTCGCCTCATCCCCACCGAAATTTTTGACACACATCATGATGCTACGGTCACCACCTGAT